CTGATCCTCTGCAGCACCATACTTTAAGAAGCCTAAGTAGAGATCCAGTGTCCTGGCAAAATAACAAATACTGCACTTTTCTCCCCAATTTCAAGGACTTCTTCTGGATGGTATGATTCATTGATGTGAAACCCCAAGAAGAATGGATACAGACTTATTGGCAAGCGTGTGTCCTGGTAGAGGGCTCTAGATCAAGTCTTGTCCACTAGAACTACAGATGCTGTATAATATTTCAGTTGGTGTTTTTCACCCTATAGCATGGTATCAACCAACCACTGACCTCAAATATTTATACTCCATAAACAAACTGACCCTGCATTTAAAAAAACACAGACTAAGTAGTCTCATGTGTAAAATCAAGTGACTACCACTCTTAAAGAATACAATTTCTTCCTACATAATTGTAGTAACAAGAAGGTTAAGTATTCTCAGTTTGACAGTGAAACCAGATAACACGTGATCATTTCATGGCATTAATTCCCTCCATGTTATACTTTATATTTACAAACTGGTTAGTCTTCCCATGGCAACACAAAAAAGATCACATTACATCAACACAGTGTTATCAGTTTACAGCTTGTCTGGCATTTGTATCATATTGGCACTTGGTATTGACCGTGTTGCAAATTCTTGGATCAGAATTGGTATGAAAATGGCATCAGAACATCTTGTACCTACTTAAAAAGGCATGGGCCAAACTCAGGCTTAGGACAATGTAGTTAGCTGAGGTGGGCCATGTCATTCTTCACTAGAGGGTGATTACTGAGTAAGCTAATCTGTCACAAACAGCAGTAACCAAATATAGTCAGCTGACAAAACAAACAACAATGTTGGCCTTTCAAGCAAAAGCCATGGTAGCTATCCTAGTTGAATAATAAAGAAATGTTTAAAATGGCAGCAGATACTATTATCTGCAGGCTGGGATAGCTGTCAGATATTGTGCAGACCGGATCCAGTCTTTCACACTTTTATCATCAGTGGAGTTTATATCCTTCACTGGCTCTCCCTCCCCATCAGCCTCCTCTTCTCACTCCTGATTTTGCTTTTTGAAATAAACTTTCTGACAGCTTCCTTTTTGGAACAAAATTGAACAGTATTTGGTAGTTTTTGAAGATTCCTGTAAGAAATAGGGCAACTGGCAAAAAAAACCGGTAAGATATGCAGTTTGGTCTCAATCTGGGGCCTAGTTGTAACTATTACATTCCAGTAAAGCTACACCAATAGTGTGATATCACATTCAGTAGTAACTTAAAATGTACATCAAAGGAACATTTAACAGTCAACCTTCTGATATTACATCTCGAGCATCAGTAGAATGACAGCAGTATTGTACAACTGAATCCTCCAACATCATCCGAGCCAGGAAGTCTAGCTATTATCCTGCTTTCTTGGACAACCTCAGTTCCTCTCCATCTCATTGTAAAACATTCCAGTCATTCTCTGCTCATTCACTCTGTCACTGTGAAACAATGGCCTACCTTTTACAAGGCCGACCAATCAATGCTCAATAGATATCTGACAACGGTACCATGTTCACCAAAAACAAAAATATAAAAAGTTGGAATCGAAACATGGAAAATAGTCAAGAGTTTAGCCCTACACATGAAACTCTGAGCTCAAACCTGCAAATCCAATTACCATCAGCCCCCTTATTGTTGTCTCCTCACCATGGTATCAACTACAGCAGAAAAGAAATCCATTGATGAAAGTCAGACGGTGCAAATCTAGAAATTCCAGCTAGCCCACAATTGCTTGTTGCATTTCAACTGAGCCTAGAGGTTTGGATAAGTACACAGGATTACACCCTAACCCTACTACACCATGATATGAAGTGAAGACGCCTCTCTTCTCTTTTGCAACATACCCTTATTGAGTAAGTGAACCTTGGTCATTACCAAGGTGTATCAGGTCCATACAAAAGATGTGAGTAATGAATAAAAGATGAAGTAGTGCTCAGAGGGGTATGGGTGTGTATCAAATATTGACAAGATCAACATGATTAAGAAATACAATAATTGGTTTTCAACAGAGCGCACCATTGGGAACATTTAAGAATGAAATAGTGAAGACAGGGAAAGAGCTTAGGTGATGGATTGCTCAACGCTACTGTGGTGAAATGGAGGGCTTGTCCTATGGCATGTGACCTACACATGACTAGAGGCAGTCTCACCACTACGAAACCATATGACTGAAAACTGAGTCATGCTAACAACACCAGGTAAAGAGTCAAACTAACTACCTGGACGTAAACAACGGATGGTTGATCCAACCCTACGTGTCACCATTTTAATAGGGACCGGTTTATATAGCGTTAAGACTTTCCCATCAGAATCAGAATCAAGCACATTTACACATACAAGGAGTGTGACTTGGGTGTGTTGGTGTTAAACAATTAACAGGGAAATAAAGCAGAAGACACTGAGGGACCAAAGTAAAACCACAGACAAGCTGTTATGCGTCTTCAAAACACAATGATGGGAACACATGTCCTCCAATTTAACAATCCAAACACTGTTAGATAATTATTTTTGAATCCATTTCTTATTGCGTCGTTGAGTAAAATAACCCAACAAAGGAAAGGCTCACATTACACCTTTGTCATTATTTACATGTTTAAACGCAGCTTCAGTCCCTTCACCTTAAAGCTGCTGCTCAAACAGCTGGCAGTGTTCACACGATCATGATGTGTGCTAAATGTTGTTTCTCTCAGTCGGCTTTTGAGTGTGTATCCACTGATTTTCATAAAAACATCCACAAGATAAGTGAGGAAGGTGGACATGAAGGCTAATGTCAGCTGATGTTAGCCGCTAACTTAGCTCAAGTGCTAACATTAAGTTGTTAACTCCTTGTCGCTAAGCACAGCCAGCGCATTGCTCACAAAGATAATACTTACTATTCGGGATTCATTGTCGACTCGTTATATAGTGTCTCCTCTGTCGTCAAACGTAGATCGACCGTGCTGTTTAGATAAGAAAGATGAAGCGGTGTCTAGCTCACACTGCTCCCAGAAGTACGGCCGGCTAGTTGTTTCTCCGTAAAAAAATCCAAAATGGCTGCAAGTCCAACCAGGAAGCAGCTAACATTAGCCAGCTGGTTAGCAGAGTCGGGAATAACACACAGTATGTGCCTTGGTGTTTACGAATGCCTTTGCTTTCTAAATGATACAAGCAAGCTGTTACCGTAGCCCTAAACCTTAAGCGGGGAAGAAAAACACAGGCGGTGTTGGTGAATCGTCGGGCTAACCGGAACCTTTCTCTCCCGTGTGTTGAGTGTGTGTGTCGTTACCGCAGCAGCAGACTGTCAAGCCAAGGAAGGATTACGTCATTTAGTGAAACGTGGCAAAAAGGAGTCAGGTAGTGCCCCGTGTCACACCATGCATAATACATGAGTTCCGGACACACCCTTCAGCACACATCTTTTAACAACATGATGTACAACATGTTTAACTGTGGGGCTTGTTTTTACAGTGATTTAAGTGTAATTCCCGTCCCATCTTACATCCACACATGCCCTTTGGCTTTGAAGTGTATCTATCTATCTATCTTTTTTTTTTTTACCGATAGCCCCTAACATTATCTATTAGTGTAAACAGCCTATATGTTGATACATTAAATAATTACAAAATTATAATTAACATGTTTCAATACAACGAAAAAGGTATAAAATACTATTTATCCAGAGACTTCTGTCCCGAGTTCAATTTTCACGAAGACCTGAAGTCATGACTCAAAGTTTCGTATTCATTGTTATGAACAGGACGATTGGTAGATCATGTCAGCACCTGTACACACCAGGTTCAATTACATGAGTCACTTGATAAAGGCCTATTGCATTTATTTTCCACATATTTATGGCCCCACTGACCTTTAATCTTTTTAAATTCTGAAATACGAGGAATAATAATCATGTGTTGCAGCCAGTCAATCAAATAATATTAATATGTCATTCGTTATTTTGTTCTTCGTTAGTAATCACTATATTTTAGTATTGGTCCATAAAGTAGCCCAATTTTGAGAAACTCAATGCATGCACACAGAAATATAATCACATATGGAGAAATGTATAATACTTTAAATTTGAATAAAAAATGGTTAAAACATGATTAAATTAAACAACAATTACATTTTAAATCATGTTTTTTTTACATTGATTTCTTAGTTGTCCAGTTTAACATACTTAATAAAAATAAACAGCAACAACATTTTTGTTTGTTTGTGTATGTGTTTACAATAAGTCAATTTTTGGTTGACAATATATAATTCTACAATGAGGACACTGTTTGCAGACCCTATCCTTTTCTATTTCTCAGTGAGCCAGATTCCCACTTTCCCCAATCAGATAATAAACCAGAAGTACTAGTATAGGTGTAGCAGTGAAACAGATAAGTCAGCTTGGTATAGCCTGGAGATATAGTCTCCTCATCCTGACAGTACACAATGCTCTGCGGTTTGTGTGTGGTCACAGCCCCAGGCACCAATCTCAATTGAACATCTACACTGTGTTTCCCACGAGGAGGTTTATCTAGGCCTCTTGAGATGGATTCTGGGGGAAGAACCTGGTGTCAAAACACCAAGATCCCTGAACAACAGTTAACAGCCGTCTGCTGATAACTCATTTACAGCATGAAGGTTTCCTTATAGGTTAGAAGTAAGGTAACTCGGGTTTACTAAAAGATAGAAGTGTCCCATTTTCTTCAGCCTTCTCCGTAATTGTGGCACAGATGTACATAGATGGACAGTTGTGCTGACCAAATGACTGATTCTACACAGACGCGGGCCCTAAACCCTTCTTAAAAAAAGATCCGGAAGTGAAGAAATCACCTCAAATCAGCTTCTTCAGGAAGCAAAATTACTATTCAACTTTTCAAGTGAGCAGTTTTCTACTGCCTTCCTGATCTCAGATCTGGTAGCTACTTAAATCTCTTATAAGGATTTCTGCCCAATCAGAGTTCAGCATCCTTTTACACCCCCCACCCCCACAAACACACACACAATGCAATCTGATGAGACCAGTCTAGGATGTGTATTGCTCCATATACACATGACATACAGTAGAAAGAACTTGTTTGGAAGGTGGAAGGTCAGTACGAACAGGTGGTTATAGGAGCAGTAGGTCAGTTCAGCCAGCTCTCCAGTTACCCTTAAATGTATATGTTACATAGCAGACACTTTTTTAAACAACACAGTTTATTTAGTGACTTAACAGTGACTGTGATAATGACATCTTTTAGGTTTCTGAAGTAGTAAGCTCCCCTAAGTGATACAAGTGGCAGAACTCTTAGAGACAGTTATAACCAAAAATGGAAAACATGCAACCCTGACAGGAAAAACAAAAGACCAAAAATGTTGTTTAAGGCTGTGTGTATTGGTGGACCCTCAGTCAATGTTCTACCAACTGATAAGAAAATGCTAAAAAGTCAAGACAGTTATGTGTAAGTGAAAAAGTAGCGGTATCCTACAGAGCACTACAGAACACGGTATAGGACCGTGTCTGTCCACTTCCACTCAGCTGCCAAATGATCTGAGATCAGACTCAGAAAGAAATATAGTAAACCTGATATGATGTTAGCCTACTTGAGAGTATGAAGTCCAGACACAGAGCTGTTCATGTTGTCAAACACAGTCTGACATGACAGCACTGAGCTAAATGATGGGTTTTTGCACTTCTAGCAAACAAAAGAATGAATACAGTTTACTGATTAAATAATTTGTGTGGAAAAAAAAAAAACGTTTTCTCTGTTTACATCTGATCATAACGTGTCCTGGGTTATCTGATCACAAGTAGACAACTCAAAAACACCTGTTCACACCTGGCATTAAAATGAGTCTCCTCATGCCTGTTAAGGACCCACATGTGATTCAAATTCACTTTCCTGCTCTATATTGGAATAAATACATAAAGAGTAACTCTCCTTCATGGGCCTTCAAAAACCAGCAATGTATAAAAAAAACTACCTGATACAGAACCACAGCAGTAAGAGAAGGAGTTCAATAGATCACAAACAGGGATCACTGAGATATAAACTTTCTTTAATCATAAAATCCTTAAGTTGTGTGGTTCAGTGAGCGCCTAAACTCCAATGCAGACTGAAGTCTCTGTAATAATATAAATAGATATCAAATACATCAGTGTGTATTTGCTTGTCTCCATGAAATGTCTCATTGCGCTGCATCATTTTAAACAACGATGAACTGAACATGCTGGGAATTACGATAATTATTACATCAGACAATATTAAACATTGTTCTAAATGTAGTCCAGGACACATACAATGTGGACCACTAGGTCTCAGACCACTTCTTAAAGAAGCCCGAGTGGTCAGATCACAATGTGTCCTGGGTATTTACACTGATCGTGAGGCTCTCCATTTGTGATAGGATCATTTAGGATTCATTTTAATACCAGGTGAAAACAGGCTCTTTGATATGTTATTCTTCCTGTGAAGCTCTAAACTGATAAAGGCTCATGCTGCTGCTCCGTGAACTCTTATTTCATTATAGGTGTAGGTGCAGTTGGCACACATTCCTTACATTTATAATAGAAAGCAATTCCAAAATGCAAAGTGTGACTGTAAACACAGCAGACAGATGCACAGATAAAGACAGGTATGTTAAAGACATTTCTATGCCTCAGTATGTGATTCAAAGACTGACAGTGTGATAAAAATGGTGATCAGGAGAGGATTATGTCTTATAAAATACAATGGTGACAGTAAGTGCAATTAGAAAAAACCTGTGCAATATTAAGGCATTTATGTAACCATTCAGAGTTTAAGGAGAACTTAATACTTCTATATCAGTTCAGTTATGAAACTAAATTAGCACTGGTTGCTTTGTGCTCCATAACAATAAAACATCTTTGTTTCTTTGTGAAACAACATTGATAGAATGGAAATAAAACATTGTTGGAAGAAAATATGAAATCTTCTATTAAAATAAATAAATATGTGAAATAATTCATGTGCTTTTACACGGACATGTCGTGCAGCCTGTTCACTAAATGGACCCCTTCAGGGCCAGAGTCCTCCTCTCGGCTCTGCTGGACGGGGCTGGGCTGGGTCAGGCTGTCCATGGCAGACAGGATGGAGGAGAAAAAGTGTTCAGTGTGGTTCTCCAGAACTCCAGACTCCCTCTCAATCAACAGCAGGGCGTCTCTTAAAACTAGAGGAGAAGGAATGCAATGAGACTTAGAGGGAAATGATGAAATGGATATCAAAGTAATGATTTCAGTTTTTGTTTATGAAGTTGTATATCAACCAGTCATATTTATGACTAACATGGAGATGTTGTGTTGATGCAGCTGAGGAGAAGCCGTCCAGTGTGCAGAACACAGGAGACCAGGGGCTGATGGCTGCTCACTTCTCTTTGAAAACTCTGATAATGAGACCACAAGATAAAATGTCAGTATTTAGCCGTTTTCACATATGCACTCCTGAAAATATCTAGATCATTTCAGGAGGACTGCTCCAGATATTCTCCATTGAATACTAGGGGTCTGGCAGGGGAAACTCCGGGTGAAGTCAGAGCGAAATATTTGGCTGTTTGCATTCACATATACAGCTCCTCCGGGAAATATCTCCGGAGATTCTCCCGACCTAGCTGTTCACATATGCTGCTCCTCACAGCGGGGGACTTTCCCTGTCAGAGGGGATGGGGTTGAAGGATTTCCTGAGGTAAGACGTGACGTATATAAACAACGCGGAAGTAGCGGCCGAAGCAACAGAGTCCGCTACGCAACGCTATAATGAGAATATTTGCCTTTATATCAATGCTGTGTGTAATCCAATGGAATGACAACATCCACAAAATGAGCGGATTTATGCATTATACAAATGGATAAACCCTCAAAAAACAAATTGGCCTGTTCCCTTCCTTGACCTTTTTTCAGGTTGGTCTGTGTTAGGTTGGCTAACAGTATCACTGAAAACTCAGAAGACAAGAAATAATCACCTTATCTGTGTATCGTCCATCTAGAAACATATCCAAATGTGTGTCTGAATCATTGTTACGGGCTCAGCCCTCACCTGATACTCAGCCAGAGAGGACTTCACACTGCTTATGTCCACGGTGGGTGCAGCCAGCAGCTCCATCTTCTCTGACATGGCATACAGCTGCTGAATGAGCTGCTCTAGGTGTGAACAGAAAACCTGAACATACACAGTATTCATTTCTAACAGCATCATCACATCATAGATGGGTTATAAAAAGCATGTATGGAATATTGCTATTTGAAAATATCCCATCAGATTGAGTATTTACCTTGATGTGCTGCATCAGGGAGTCACTTTGCCTCTGCTCCTCCTGGCTGCTCCTGTGGGGCAGTGTGAGGCCAGAAAGCTGCTCCACCAAAGCCTCCACCTCCCTGAGACTTGACCGACTCACTCCCTGACTCCTCCTCACTTCCTCTGAGACCCTGGGATCATCTGTTGTTCGACAAAGAATGGATTTTCAGTGTTTTGAATTGTTAGTCACTTGATGTGCTGCATTTAGCCCAAAGCAACCCCCCGGCCCCAAAGCCACTCCAGAAATAAAACTACTTGATATTGTAATTGTGCCTTCAAAATGATCCATAATACACATAAAGTAAACCATTTTCTAGGTCAAGTCGTTCGTGGTTGCATTATTTTGATGTGGGTTATGTATGAAAGATATGGCAGAATTAGAATTGAAACATAACTCTAAGTTTCTCAGATCATGTCCTCGTCTCAGCTCAATGTTTAAGGTTCTGCTTAAAAAAAAATCAAACTTTGTTGTGCAGAAAATTACATAAAAAGGCATATTTCTACACATAATAGTGCTAAGCCAACTAAAATATAGGTTATATAGAATAAGAGCACATCTCCAGACACATTGTTTTTTTGTTTTTGTTTACTACTGGTGGAGTTATTTTGGAAATCCAAAGTTTTACTATCTGGTTGAAAGGAATCATGGGTCTTTATTTGGCAATGGTGGACTGAGGTAATTTTCTTGTCTGTGCTGGTTTGGTGAATTGTCAGAAGAAAAAAAATCAGGGTTCTTTTAAAATCAAAATATATATTTGTGTAATGTTAATTGGGCATATTTAGAGTTCCCTGACAGTAAGCTTTTTTTTTTATTGCGAGAAAAACAGCCAGTTAAAACCTTTTTAACATCTAGAGTCTGCATGTAATCTGTCTTGTGCATGCACATATCCAGATCAGCCCCCTCTGCCGAACATTAGTTCCTATTAATTCCTTTATTACTCTGTTCAGATCCCCATTAGCTGACGCAAATGCAACAGCTCCTATTCCAGGGGTCCACATACGACTAACATTCAAAATATGAAATACAACATACATTATGTACAAACATAAAATACAAATATATCAAAGAAGACACATAATGCATGTAAAAGAGAATCACTATCACCATGACTGACCATGAAAGAGCCAAAAGGTTTAAATAAGGAAATCAATTCAATAGGTAAATGATAAATGGTCGACCTGTCTGAGAAGCACTCCTCTCCTCTCTGCCTGTCTCTTCTTTTTCTTTATTGTTGCCCTTCAGCTCCTTGTTTTCAGCATCCTGTTTATCAGTCAAGGTGATGGAGGACAGAATGGATGTGTTGCCTGGCCCCAGAGACTCCCAGCTGGCTGTGACAGGCCGCCTCAGCTTGGCTGTCACCTCCTTCACCTGAACACAGGGACAAATACTTTCACTACTAGCTGAGAAACACAAAACCTTTGGATTATTAATCACTATGTCTGTTCTCTCTCCCCCCCCAACATCGTGTTCCACTTCTGATAAAGTGGACGACTGATTAAAGAGCCTTTAAGCTGTCCAAGCATGTTTCAGGGGTGTCACCTTCTGTTCAGCCAAAAAAATCCTCAATGTTCCTGCAGCTTGTTGATATGTGATTGCAAAGAAGCCTTTCCTCACACGTTATCTTTACAGACAATATTTCAATTCCAGAAAAAAATTAACTTGACATTAGAGCTCATTAGTGTGATGACTTCTCTTATGATGGGACATCATCCAATACACCACCAAATTTAACAGGCTTTTAGGCACTGTTAATGGTTGCAATGTAACTAAAGATTATACATTTTTGTGTATGAGGCAATGGCTGCTTTAACCAGTTTTAAATTCTCTTCCGCTGGATTTTCAGACAACAAAGGATGCAACCTAAAAATGTGATCTTAAAAAAAATAATCAGCCATAATGTCGAGTCTAAAGGAGTTGTAGTGAAAGGGTTTCCCTGTGCGCGATCAACATTCATTGTGGTCTTTAAGTCAAAGTCCATGGTTGCCTAAAGCACTGACCTGTCTGGACAGCAGCTGCAGCTCCTCCAGCTGATCTGGAAGAGGCCAGAACTCCTCGTCCAGCTCCCCACATACATATCTTGACTGTGGGAGAACACTAGTGGAGCGTCTTAAAGCACTGGAGGTTATTGCATGGTACTGATGATGATGATGACCACCCCCCTTGTAAAGTTTTATTCCACTTGTGTTCGTATAACTGTCCAGACTATCAAAAGACAAACCCACCGGGTCTGTTAGGGAGAGACCATTACCTGAGGGCAGACCTTCAGAGGATTTGGTGGACCCCTGCAGATCAGGTGTCCTCAGACCCTCACCAGGAGTACCTCTTCTCCTGGTCTGCCCTGTCTCCAACCCTGACAGGCTGGAGGAGTTGCAAAGATAGTCCAGATCAATCCCGGAATCCTGCAGGTTTGGATCTGTTTGGAGCAGAGAGTCTCCCTGGAGGTCAGAGCTATCCCACTGGCTGACGACCTGTCCTGGTTTCAGAGGATAAGTGTAGTCAAGCAGGGCCTCGTATTCCTTGTTTGGGTCCCAGCCTGCAGAGTGCCTGCCTGAAGAGGGAGGTGAAGATTTAGGGATGGCACAGGCCCAGTAGTTTGCCTGATGTGGAGACATTGTTTTTTCCTTTGAATGTCCTCCAGAAGAGTAATGTCTGCTATCTCCTCCAATTTCACCCTCCCTCACCCCCAGCCTGAGAGGATTCTGGTCGCCCCTGGATTTCCCTGAGAGAGGGGTGTAGGTAGGGTGAAGTACAGTGGAGGTCAGTCGTGGCCTCATTGGAGGCTTTAGTCTCTGGACCTCCAAGATGGAGCTTGTAAACCTGCGCTGGGTTGATCTGCTGCCAGAAAGAAAACTAAGTTCTTCATCAAACAGCCTGGACCTGAGCTCTGAGACACCCATGTGTGAGTCTAGGTCTTCTCTAGAAGCTGAGGGAGTTGAGATGTCACTGTGAGACAGTCTGAAGCTCTCTGGAGACACCAGCTCTCTTGCCTTGGTCAAAAAGTTACTGTCCGTGTGTTTCTGATTTTGCTCTCTTTTGCTACCACTGAAGTGCTGCTCCTAGAAGGAAGGAAACAGAACATTATATTATACTTCAACTGTCTGTTAAAGTAAAGGCGTGTTGACATTTAGCAAATACTATACAGCTCTGTCATCTCTGTCGAGTTTTGTAATGGCTCTACAAGAAAATGACAGATGAACGTTTGGATGGCATTATGGACACTCCCATGACTTCTCATAATGATCTTCTGTTTTCTCATAAATAAAATTAATTATCAGGGAGATACTATGAGGTAAGACATGACCGGTAGCTGCTTTGTCACTGGAAGAAAAAAAAAGGACTCATACATGAGACAGACGTGTAAAATGACTTCACATAAGGTTTTTTTTTTTTTGTCAATTTTATCTCAAACATGCAGTTTTATTGACTCTCTGTCAGACCTCACCTTCTCTTTGTGCTTTTCTCTTGTAGTCTTCTTGAGGATGGATGTATGTTGCTCAGCAGCAAACAGAGGCTTTCTCATCACATACTGTCTGTCTGTCAGATACCTGGACGTGGGCGCCATGGAAACACTTTTGTGTGGCCCATCTCTGTCCCTTTCTCTCTCTGCCAGGCCTCTCTCGTGGTCATTTGACGCCAGACTTGAGCATCTTCTGTGTTTGAACTCGGGAAGTTGCATCTTCCATTGCTGGCTGCATCCCTCAGCTTCCATTGGCAAAAGGAAATGTAGGAAAGTCCTGTCAACTACAGAGACACATTAGTTAAGTACCTTTACATTTATGAAACAGGGTTATATCTAAAAGCAATAGTTTGTTATTAATGCTATTTATAATGACTTCTTTTGTTTTAGTGATGCTGCTTGAAAGAGCTGCTGAATTGTGGCAAAGTTTTGATCTATTTTCCTCCATACAACAAACATCAAGTTGCCGAATTGGAATAAAGAAGCACTGATGACACAGAATATATGTTCAGTTAATTATTATAGCACATAATGACAGAGTAATACATTCCCAGACAACTTTAAATCTCAAAAGCATCAAGAAGACAGACTGTGCTTCGATTGAATAAATATATCCCTATATTTCAACCATATCAAAGTTATGTATATAGTGTAAATTTCACTTGAGAAATTCCCCCAAGATGTCTCGGACATGAGTTGTCTTTTTGCAGTTTTGTGGGATGTGTGTAAAAAAAAAACTCCTTCTGACATCCATCAATTATCATACATTGACATTCAACACCTTAGAAAGTGCATTTGAAAATGAACTGCCTTTCTATAAATCACAATAATAACTGCTCACATCTTAAACTAAAGCCCATACCAGTGTCATCAAAGCCAAACCCAACTGAAGCCAACTCATATTGGTGGGACCCCAGGACCCAAAACAGGCATCAATAAAAACATGCAAGCTGCTCAAATGTGAAGATTTGTTACTGTTTTTGTTTTCCATCAAATTTTATTTTGTAACATAACAAAGAGTAAGGTATTATCTGCTTTTTGAAAAGTGTCTCGAGATAACATTTGTTAAGAATTGGCGCTGTACAAATAAAGACTCATGATTGATAATGATAATTTGTTGGTAGGACAAAACAACCTTTTTGAAGGCGTCACTTGCAGCTCTGTGAAGTGTTGATGGTTTTCCTGAATAGATTTAGAGGCTGATTATCAATTAATAAAAAATAACTGACAGATTGATACTTGATAATATGATCAAGAAAAGGAATTTCACCAAAACCTGAACCTGGCCTAAGCCTGATATTTTGTTACTGTAACTCCTAAACAAGACCAAAACACATGATCATTTGGCTTCTATTGCACTTCTTTTGGACGCTGTTCTCTGCTCACAGAATGAATGTAAGTCCAAGATTTCCCCTCTTTAACCTGTGCTTTGGTCAGTACGCCTGGGAAAATATCTCAAATAATTTACTGTGAACATAGACACACATGACTTGGCAAAGTTGGAGATTCTAGCTTTCATTTATAATGCAATCCTTGTTGACATGTTCCAGATAAACACACACATTCAAATAGCAAATACACACTTCCAGTTGCTAAGTAAGTGGAATGTCTCTGTCTATTGTAGTGGGATCACTAAGCAGCAGGCCTGATAAGCATCCAGTTAGGTCAAGGCAGTGAAATGATATGCTCACTAGTCGCTCCTCACCTGACTGATCTCATTAAGACTGCATGCTCAGACCTGCAGTGCTCACCGGACCAACCAGGAAGAATAACGAGGTGGACTATTTGGTCAGAGCCACAGATTCTCAACGCATCAAGAACTACCATAAATATATGTGACTATTAGAAGTTTTAAACGAGGATCACTGGGTGTTCTGTTCCACACCATTAACTGTTGTGTTTACCATTAAAGTGCAAACATGGACTTCCAACAGTGAGATAGTGTTACTGTTTTAGTCAAAACCTGCATTTCAAAAACAAAACCAAAGTATCCAATACCAACATGTTTCTGTCCAGAATCCATGGATATAGAGTATTTAAATTAACTCCAGATACTGACTCTAATGTCTTACATCTATGGGGGACAAATCTCCACACTAACCTGTAGTGCCTGACTCCATCCGCCCTGAAAACACACAAAGCTACAGAGAGTTTTGAGCGTGGCATTTGGTTACAACCTCTATGCAAATAGTTATGTTTGTTCATGTTCAAATATACTTTATCTCTGTCTTTTTGGAACACCACCTGGGCAATCAAAAGGTAAACCGAAACAGAATGTTGCACCAAAGCACATGTGTGTTAAAATACATAAAATAAACATATGACAATCAGACTTGATGACCAATGACATGACCAACTACTATTTCAAGCAGCTCCAATAAATTACAATTGTGTCTCAGAAATGTCAGAATCACCACATCATTTCCTGTCTTCCCATCACTGTCCCCCATTTTGATGGTGTGTCTGGTTTCCATGGAGACAACCTTGAGGGTTGGCAAAAGACTCAATCAAAAGTTCCAACAAAGCAAAGACAGGGCTGGTAACCTCCATGGTTAAAAGAGGAGCTAACTGCCTTTCCACTTGAAGCTTGCTCCAAACCAGTGTCAATCCCAGTGTGGTAACATATTAAAATGTTGAATTCATCAAATTCCAAAATGGTTCCATTGTAATTTAATTCATTGCTTTCAGTCACATGACCGGCACAGAGGCTTGGAGGGCAAAAAGAGCACAGGCTAAGATCCGCCACCAAAGACCACTGTGGAGCTGGAGCACAGACAACCACAGAAAAACAGGGAGTTTGGATACACTGCTAGTTTATATAACGCTCAGGACACTATATCAACAACAGTCTTTTAGAGAGACCCCCCCCCCCCCCCCCTTTAACACTGCTGTAGGATTAAAGTCTTCTAAGGTACAAACAGTAAGCTGTCTGTTTCAGTCACAGTTCTGGGGCAAGTGATGTTTGATTAAAGGCTGTATTATCATGCTCAATATATTATGGCAGGATAAGGAGAAGTCTGTTCTTCTTTTTCCTGCAGGGGCAGCAGTACATCTAAATGATAAATCCACAATCTCCTCCTATCCGGATTGTCTTTCTTAGCTTGAATTCTGCATTCAGTTCCTAAATTTGTGACATCAAGTGAAAGCTATGAATACTTTTGGTCTCTATGGTCTATTTCCCAATCCATGACATAATGATTACATTTGTATTAAACTCAACCATTTTATTTGTATTGAGTCTTTAGAATATGCATAAACTGGGGCCCAACCATTCCGGGTGAAAGGTGGGCGCTGCCAGAAGTCCACCGAGGTTTGACCCTAGTTAATTTCACTCACAAAATTTAGGCTCTTGGTCTTGTTTGTGGTGTTGGAGCTTTTGGGGCTTTTTTTCCCAACAGATATTGGACACATGGCTTGCTGTTCAGTTAACTGTTCTAAGGGATTAGGATGAAGTCTGTGCTCCAGATTTACTGTTTGGTTAAGCAAAAACTAGTTTATTATTTATACCTTTGCATGAATTATCAGGTTTGGGCTCACCATACTCTGCATATTAGCACTTTCAGTCGACAGACAACAAACTAGTTTTTGCAGACGCTGCACAGTGGATAAGTCCTCTTGTATGAGTTGATGCAAAGTATTCCCCACGATTAAGCTTGCTTAGTGGGTGAACCAAAAAACTAAATTATCAGCTAAAATAAACATGGTACACCATCAGTCATTCTTTGTATGCTTTGCTAATTAGATGCTGCATATTTTGCCACAGTAAACAACCCATCTGTACTAGGGCTGGGAAATATATCGAGTTTTTAAGATATATATCGATATATTTTCAAACAAGATATAGGGTAAGACAATATTGTTAATATCGATATAGTTTAAGTTGCATTAAAATAACGTTATAGAGGTGCCAGGTCACTTTTTTCTCATCTCACTGATGATGACTGACTGTCTGTCCCTCTTCACCCTGCTCCTCCTCTCTCTCTCTTTTATTGTATTTAAGGAACACTTTTATTTTATAATATTACTTTTTAAATTCACAAACAGGTAGTTTATTTTTCCATGTGTTTTCACTGTTAATATATCAATATTGAGTATCGCCATTCAGCTAAACAATATCGAGATATGAGTTTTGGTCCATATCGCCCAGCCCTACTATGTATCCTTGAGAAATGTCACAAAAATAAAAAAGATGCAGATACAAAGATAAATAGAGTGAGAGTGGTCAAATTATAAACAATGCTGTGAGCTGATTTTTTTTTTTTTATGACCATGGCCTGTGGTCAAAATCATGACTTAGAAATAGAAGCCACCTGCTCAATGAGGCAACTTCAGTATCATACTCAGCTGGCAGGACTCTGATGGAAATTGGAAAAATGCCTGATTTACAAATCCTCTTTCTATTTGTCACCATAGTATTCCTCATTACATTTATCTTTAGAAAAAGATGACCCACCAGAGGAAGACATGCATTTTATGTAATCTGAAGTAACATGGCAACCAATTTCTGGATCACATGTTGAAATAATACAAACTCTAATGTAAACAACAGAGAAATCAGTCTAGTTGGGTGCAGTACAAAAGGAGAGGACAGAAGATATTTGAATTGCTTGTTACTGAGGTAAGTCCTTTTTGGGTGTTAGTGTTACTGTTCTGTTGATTTTCTTTGAGCTAACTGGTGCTATAGGTTTGTGTCAGGTTGTTTTTTTTACTTATTCCTAACAGTCACTGAATGTAGACACACTGATGTTTTATTTTCTATTTTTACAACATACACTTACCAACCACATATGAATGTGAATACATTAGAAATATCAGTGCTTCTGCTATTTATACCAACAACACATTTAAAATTAACTGTTAATATATTTAGCTAAACGTTAAAGTAGCTAACTGTAGAGCTGGGCTGAGCTTGTGTTGAGCTTGTGTTGCTAGGCAACAGTTATACATAACATTTGTGCAAGAAATTGAAAATGTCAGAATCAGAGGAGAAGAATTTGAAACAAAATATTGTTTTTAATTAAATAACCAAAACCAAAAATCTACTTGGTTTCAACAATGATCTTGTCGAGCTTTTAAGATGATCACTACTGCTGTCTTTACCCTGTCCCTGTGTATTCACTGAGAATAGAAAAGGCTAAAGAAAGTAATTCTAAATAAGAGGTGGGGCTTCAAAGTCAAATAAAAGAATATATGTTTTAAGTGAAATTTTCCTCTGCTTTAATTGTTTTCCAGAGAGAACTTCTAAGAAGTGGATATCCTGATGGCAGAAAGTGGCAGTCTGGAGCGTCTCAGTGTCTCCACCCTCAGGTTAATTTCTTACAGTTGTTTATGAAGAAATAGACTACACATAATTTTGTAACGTGTTGCTGTTGTCTGTGTCATTACTGGAAGGTGCTCCGTTCAATCTGTTTAATGTTTTTCTGTTGAACTACCTTTATCTTGATGATTGGACTGGAACAGAAAACAGGCAGCAAATGACAGGAGGATCTGCAGGATGGTGAACAAACAGGTGGAGAAGCTATTCTTGGATCTGCATGTAGCATTCTTCAAGGAGCACAACAATATAAAGGAGAACATTGCTAATCTGATAGATAAACAAATAGAGCAGTCGGAGACTATAGAATGGATGAAAGAATGCATACACATCCTGGGGAAGAACATGGAGGACAAACATGAAGACATGGACAGGTTAAGCTTGAACTGTTCAGAAACAGCCTCTGAACCCGACAGCATCCCCTCAAAATATGAACCAGAGGAAAGCTCCAAAAGTCTGCTGAATGATTCCAGTGATGAGGACACCAGCTATCATATAAAGGAGATCATTGCTAATCTGATAGATAAACAAATAGAGCAGTCGGAGACTACAGAATGGATGAAAGAATGCATACTACACATCCTGGGGAAGAACATGGAGGACAAACATGAAGACATGGACAGGTTAAGCTTGAACTGTTCAGAAACAGCCTCTGAACCCGACAGCATCCCCTCAAAATATGAACCAGAGGAAAGCTCCAAAAGTCTGCTGAATGATTCCAGTGGTGAGGACACCAGAGATGCCTCCAATGATGCGGACAGTCCGGACACAAGTTTGCAACCAGCTGAAAGGGAGCAAGAGGAAAAGCAGCAGGCTTCATCTGATGGTACCACCGTGCTAACACCGCCAGTTGAAGAAGGATGCAGAGGAGAAGAAAGCACGAGGGATTAATGTTAAAATAAAGTACATATCAGTTCATTTCGGATATTTTGACTGTTATTCTAGAAACGGGAATTTGGTAGTTATGTCTGGCGTTGTGCAAAGCGGGAACATACCGTAAAATTCGGTGTTTAAGTCTCACTTTTAATACCTATTTTTTCGTCCTAAAGTTGGCTGCGTCTTATACGCGTTTCATAGGTGAATGTTTTCCACTGAATAATGCAACTCCTACAAGATTTAAATTCATAGATATATGAAAGAGGATGTAAGCTTATGTTTTCAGTGGTGGCTAAAGCCTTGAGAAAGAGCTGGGACAGGCTACAATTCCAACAGGTAGACTTATCCATCTGTAGCCCATCTATCAAGCTCCCACAGCATTTAAAAAACATTCGCCTCGATGCCTGAAATGTGTCCCTGAGGTCATCATTGAATTTACACTGGATTTAAGATTTCTGGTGTTGCAGATGGGAAAATTGTTACCCAATCATCACTAGAGTGTTATGCATTAGTCTGGTATATGTGGAACATGAAGGTTATGACTATGTGAGTGTGTGTGTGTGTGTGTGTACCATGGTGTGTACGCTATATCAAGCATCCAGTCTGTCCATCCTGTCAGCTATAAAACACAAAGGTGATGCAGCTACATGACAGCTGAAACAACGTGATGTGAGGAGCCTTTGTTCATTTTGTCAAACAGAGGCTACAGTATTTCAAACATAGGTGGCAGTGGTCAGAGTGGGACTGTGGAGGAAACCATAGCAACAAGCCCTGACACCAAACACAATTGACCTATACAAAGCCAAGAGCCACAGTTGTCCACTAAGATGGCCAATGTTAGGTTTCGAGTTTGGCGTTACTCGTGTCCTGACCGACATGTGTTTTTTATTCATGTCTACTTCACTGCTTGCTTTATGAAAAACACATCATCAGTTGTAACCACAGCCTGTGTTATCGTACATGCTACATGTGTATGCTACATTAACACAGCAGGTAGCCTACAGAGCTGGTTTTCAAATGACTAAATATGGAAAAAGTGAAACAATGTGCTTGATCTCAGTCAAACATTCTGCAATTTAATCTGCCAATTTTATTGATGCAATTACAAACAAATTGAAATCCCGCCTTTGCATTACGTTAATATTGTGAATATTCTATTAAATACATGTTTATGATCCACATGAAGCGGTGCTCAGTGCAAAGTATTGAGAAGCCTCGACCGCCCACTATTGTGTTGTTTGTGTTCAGCGGAACCGAAGTCATACCAGCTGACACTTGGCGAATATCTTTAATGCAGTGTTGATAACAAACTTCTAAGACTGCGGCTATGACTCTGAGTCAATGTAAAAACAATACACATTTCATTGACTTACCACATCTAGCTGAGTAGTCTTCAGCTCGGAGCTTCCAGTGGTTGCGGCTTTGTTACAGCAGCCTTCTTCCTCTAACCGTGGTGCCTTCAAGTGCTGCTTGTTCTCCCCCTTCATTAAGCGACATACTTTTTTTTGTAACATTTCTGATAATCTTACAGTCCCTGTTATACAGACAGGGACTTTTCGCTCGTTTATTTCGTTATTGTGTTATTACTGATTGGTTATAGGCTAAGCTACTTTACACTTTCTCGTTATTATAAGAAAAATAAAGTAAAGTTACAGTAGGCCTAGTTGTAATCCCATCGGCTACATGAGGATGTTCAGCGTGTGTGGGACATCACTAAATTTAAAGGCTCCAAAGTTAGATTTCATAAATTTACCTTAAAATATCTAAAATAACGGCCCTCTAGTCACGTGGGTTGAAATAATGACTCATTTTTGGAGGACGGTAAGTGAAGGCAACACAACAAAATGCATTTCAAAACAGGACAAGCAGGCCGAAGTGGCCCTTTACCCCCCTTTAGCGGGCAAAATAGGAAGTGCATGACTTAATCGTCATTGAAATAAGAAATACCTCATTATTATAAATCTTCTGCACATACAAGCACTCCACATACTGTCAGTGCCACTGAAATCATTCATACAATGATACAATAATTTAATGAATATAGCCTAACAGTAGTTCCTTATAACACCTTAGTTTTCTGAAAAGTGTTGCCAAACAAAAAAAGCGTGCATTTCTTTTACTTTGAGACCATCCAGATCTTAGTCAAATATAACTCACTTAAACAGTCTGAGATCCACAGATCCCCTTTGAAATGACTACATAAACCTTAAACTGGGATTCCCATTAACAACAGTGAAATTGGTATCAGCATTATCCCAGTGTGATTTAGGTTACTTCCTTAAAACAAAATTATGCTGTTTTAAACCAGTTAATTGTAACTTAGCTCATTTGGTAGTTTCTAGTTACAAAAAAAAAAAATTGAAACCCGTTTCTATACATGCTTTAAATGAATCAATTAACACAACAGACATGAAAACAGAACAATCGGTCCTTTAATTAATCTCATCTTTCATACTGGTTGACGAAACAAAAAAGCTTAATAGGACCAGCACTCAAAAATGTCTCACTCTCACATGCAACCAAACTCCATCAATGTGCAAAGTATGTCTTGAAGCGTCACATATATCGGTGATAATGGATGGCATTTTCTTTGACAACCACAAAGGCCAGCAGTAAGAGACATGATACATTTTGTGTAAATCAAGCTACTTATGCCAAAAAAAATAGTTTTTGTAATTGTTTTTGTTCCCTGTAAGAGTTTACACAGTGATAGTAACAAACAGTTTATATCCCTGTCTTATTCTCATCTTCTGAACAGAAACTCAGATTCCCAGAGTACAGCAAACACAATCAATGATAATAAAACCACTTCATAGATAATGGTCTAAAAGTCAACACAGCGGCCCTTTCTCTCCCAGTCTCCATAGCGCGTTGGTTCTGGGCCCCGGGGACCCCCCTTCTCCTTGGTTGCAGGGTTTACATCATCAGGGAATCCTGGAGATCAACAGGAGAGTAATTCAATGTATTTATTTGATACAGATTGAGTAAAGATGATCTTCTTGAAACATACAGTTGACAGTACACACGCTGTCCAGTTTGTTGGGTACACTGGGCTTAATAAATGCAGTAAGGACTGTCACAGGGCAACCTCGTGCCCTCTAAAATAATACACACACTTTCATGTGCTAATGCCAAAACAGACACTCTTGAAGTAACATCAAGCCGGCCGAGAGGCCTGTGTTAATGTTAGCTTAGCATGACTAGCAACTAGTAGCCTACTTGGTGTAAATGACTTCAGACAAAACTTAAGAAAAACTCATTAACAAATAATGTCAAACATTGTATTTTTAAGCAAAAGAAAACACATGTGGACTATTTTTACATTAAAACATTTCATTCATTGTTACACATATAATATATCTTTGTTAGTCACCTGTTTCTCCACAGCCTTGTTTGCACTCTTTGTAACCAGGAACAAACAGAGCAGAAGTCTGCCTGTGGATTATATATGGGTGTGCCAAGTGCCATGTTTGTTAGAGGTGGAGGGGTGTTTAGGTTGTTGAGATGAAATCTGTTATTTAAATGGCTGTTTGAGTATTCACTCAATGGAAATGTATGTTGATATGCCTTTAGCCTTATTGCAGATATGATGTGTTGTTTGTAGAACAGGAAATACTCTCCTGAGAGTAAATTGATTTCCAACCCTTCTTGGTAGGAGCCAACTCCTATATAAGAGGAGGCTTGAGGTCCTTTCAGGTCATTGGTTGTTGGAGGTGAACAGTGTTGGAGAGTTTGATGACAGTAAATAAAGAGTGTACAGAGCTGCATTGTTTAGAGTTCAGTCTCTTCTTTTGTTTGTCACTTTTTGCATTGTGATTTTTTTCTTGCAAGTATTATTTTACATTGTTATCCAGGCCTGCACTGTACATATTGCTGAATTTGATTTTTCCACTGTAAATAAATTCACTTGGACTGCATTTTCCTCATTTTTGGACCTAAGCCACTAGGCCATCCTTACAAGGACCTCTACTTATTAAGGTCAGAATTCCTTTTACAAATCCTGGCTGAACCTGGTGTCTTCTTCTTGTCATTTTATTAACATTCTGCTATGACTACACATGAGAAAATACACAAACTACATTTTTATGCAGGGGCATTGCTTTAGGAAGATTATTTTTTTGTTAATACTTTTGTTTACGAATTGTCATTAGCACAACACATTTCAGATTTGACTGACCGCCTTCTTTGTTCTATTACAGTGAGAAAAGTTTCATGATTTTTCTCTGTTTTAAATACCGGGGGAGAAGGGGGGGCAGATTTTGCACACTATTTTTCAGCATTTAAGCTCAAATCATTTGAACAAATAAAATGAGTGTCCATTAATAATCTAGAGGATGTCTGAGGGACTTCACCTGTCCTCATAGTCACTACTATGTTATCATTGTGATTGTCGTTAAGCCCCCGAATCAAACTTACTTTCCAGAACCTCTCTTTGCTTCTCCTCCGGGGTGTCAAACCGACCCTGAGGGGTTTTAGCTTTCTTCAGCGGCTCCTTGTCCTTCACCAATCCACTGGCTGCCCGTGAACACCCTACAGCACACACAACACAAACCAACACAGACATCCGAGCCGAGGAGTTCAGAATAAAAGCTGAGGTGGCTGCAGGCAGTGCACAATGAAGCTCTGATTTAACCTTCACTAACCTTACTTTAATGACTGTCAAAGTCTCAATAAAGGTAAGAAAGAGATCCTAAATCATGCTCTAAGAAGAACAAACAAAAAAAGAATAACTGAACTATAACAGAGACTTTGTAAATGTGGTTTGGGCTGACCAGAAAACAAAATAGAGGCAACGTCGACAAACTGACCAGTAAATGCAGAGTCCACAGCTCGACCATGAGAAAGAAGTCGTCTGCTGGTTGAAGCGCACACCTGCAGAAGAGACATGTCTGCAGCTGACCGGAGGAAAGAAGCGACACAAGCCAATTACGTATCCTGTGCCCAGACGTCTTTGCACTCTTACACAATTGTGTCGTTGTTTGTCGAGCTTTATTTACGTAATTTTCATCATCACTTGGCGACGGAAAATGACGAGGGCTATGTTTATTTTTCACCAGTAGGGGGCGATATAACACTGGATAACAGAGTAACTGCACTTCACTGTGGTGAACAGATGATGTTTCCATACTGACATAACATTTAGCACTTCCACCATTAGTTCATTCAATATTGTCTGAGGAGTAACTTGACTCAAGCTTAAATAGTAGCCTAGTTGTAGGTTGTATAATGATAGACAGGTTAAATAGGGTACAGAGCAAACAATAAAGCATGGCCATTGCCTTTATTTAAAAATGACAATGTCACATAGTATGGATAGAAACAGACTTTTTTCTTTAGTTACAACATTGTCAAATCAGCAAGCCTGGCTTTTGTACTATTTGTACCATTTCTAAACAGTAATTAACAGTAGCATTTGTTCTGTAAATAAATTTCATTCATTTAATGGTTTATTTTCTTCAAAAACAACCGAAGTGGTTATTTCAATCTAAGGCCATATGTGTTAGTACAGAACTGTTGTGAGCATAGCTTAGCTTAAGCAAATACACCTACTGACACCTAGAACACACTGATGAAAACGTATCTCGATAAATCAAAAGGCAACAAACAGAGAAATAAATGAGCTGATACTGGAAAGACAGAAGCAACACATTTTTCCCTATAACTGAAAGCCACCGTGGCTACCTCTGAATTCTTCAACTGTCCTCTCTTGTTGCAGCTACATCCCTTACTGAATATCAGCGTTAAAGAGTAGCTGAATAGATCTGAGTTTACTTTTGATTATCTATAAATGTACAGGACTGTGTTTGAGAAACAAGGGAATTTACCTGTGTTCATTTTTAATACATCAGTTTTCTAGAGCCTGTTTGATTGACAGAACATCACAGTGCTATTGCAATACAGACACAGCATTAATATAACAATACATTATGTATGGAGCATCAAAAGATGTGATGATTTATTGAAAATTAGAAACTGGGTAACTTATCATATGGATCTACTTAGTGTCTGCATTGAATGAAGATTTTTTTAGCACTGAGAGTTTTCAGGATTATACAAGAGCTGTTGCTGATTTCAGATTTTCCATGCCCAAGTGTTGATTTGATGCTGAGCACATTTGAAAGGTTGAAAAAAATGACAAGATTATTAGACACTACAGTTTTTGAACAGATGGTTTGGTCATCAACATGGTTGGTTGATTGGTTATTTAACGCACAAACATACCAAGCCCCAAAGAACAGTGCTGCTTTTCTCAGTTTTTCTAAACTTGCTTTTCCTTATCAGCTCCAGTCACCACTTTACGTCCCTGGGGTAAAATTCTGTTGGATGTGTGAGAGGAATTCCAGGAGTGTTTCAGTGCAGCTTACCTCTAGAGACTCTGTGCAGATTTTTCCAAGTGGATAAAGAAATTCTCCTTTACATTCCTCTTCAACCTTTTAGAGGAAAGTCCTGGAGAATGTCACATCACACACTAAACACACACACGTACATACTCTCACAGCCAAACGGCTTGCTATGCATTTACTGCTGACTCAAATTCCCATTAGAAAAATCAGTGGACACAAAAAACTTTTGGGGTATTTCTTGTATGAGTGAGATCTCGCTTAAAAAGTTTCATCAATGTAAAAAATATTTTGCATGAAGTAAAACATATAAATAATTTAATCAACCAAATCACTGCAATATTTTAGTTAAGATTTTCTTAGGTACCACCAGAATATGTGCACCAGCTTCATCCAGTTTTTCTTGGAGTCACTCTCGCAGAATTAAATGTAGAAATGAAACTGTGCACCAGAAAAAACTCTTTTTGTGAGCATTGTTTTGTTTTTAATGTTTATATTTACATTGGGGGTTTGCCTATGGTATCATTAGAGGAGGAAGAAGTCATTTGTGAATTCCTCATGGAGGAAATTCTGTTTTGCCCTGCTGTGCTCCTATATAAAAAAACCACACCATTTCACTTTGTATTTTTCACTGTATTCCTTTGCTGGGATATTTAAAAGCTTCAGGTTTGTTGTGTGCGTGCATTTCAAAATTAGATAAAGGAAAAGGTTTATTCTCAAAACCATGTAAAAATGATCTTGGATAGGGACCATAGGGACCTACTTAAGAGAAGTGATCTCAAAATTGTGCATAAAAAAACTGAATCTAAAAACAGAAACTAAAGCTGCTATAAACTATATTTTTTAATCCGTATGTTTCAAATAGCAGTGTGGCAATGTTTAAGGTGCTGTCATGGTAAACCAGGAACACAGGTCCATCAACTGGATCAGAACCTCTGCTTTTTTATGTTTATATTAAGTTTCAGTTTAGTGTTTTTTCACCTGATGAAGATTCAACAATGACTGAATTCTTTGTAAAACATCTGTAAAAATAAAGCAAAGCTAATTTTGACACCAAAAAAGTATGGGCTGGACAATATTGTGTCTGTAAGTTTACTCTTATATATGGCTAAATGATGTTTTAATGAAAACGATCTAAATGTTTGGACTGAAAAAGTTAAAACTAAACTAAAAATGTGGAAGAAATTCTTAGTCAGACATTTTTACATTTATTAAATGATAAAAGGAAAGGAAATTTAGCATCCAAAACAACACACACACACACACACACACACACACACTCTCTCTAGCTCTTTCATTTATCACTCGAGGCAGAGTGATAGTCACTTGTTAGATTCTCCGTTATCAACCAAAAACACAAAAAAAAACAACATGACTGTTTTAATAGCAGCACAGCTCCCTCTTCACTGTCTATTTTGAATCAAACAAACTCACAATCACTCTTATACTGGCAGATAAGGAAAGAAAAGATAATAAAATCCATATGAACACAGACTTGTCTTCGTAATTGGTCAGCTCGTTGGATCTCATCCCACACAGACGTCCTTACACAGAGTAAAAATACAGTTTATGAACACCAGATATAAAAAATAATAAGTCCACAAAAAAATCAAACAAGGTACAAAGAGGTAAAAAGTGGTCATTGTTTAATGGCTGCAAAGTGCAATTCAGTATTATTTTTATTTTGATGGTAAAATAGACAAATACCTTGGTGTGTTGCTGTAAATAATCATATGGAGTCATTTCCATTTGTTAATGTGTCAGTTTATAGCCTGCATAAGTTCATAAAAAGGTGCTAAAACAAGTGCTGTTATTTGACATTATTAGATGAATAAAAAAGTTACTTTGAGGACGTACACAATCAGACATTGATGTCGAGAGAGATGTACAGTACACACGTTTCTTTTTTTTAGCCAACATCAAATAGCCTATGAAAATATGCTGTTTATGAAACATCAAGTCCTTTACAGGCAAGTATAATACAACTCACTGATGTCAGTCTGTCCTCCTGCTCCTCTTGGGAGCTTTCTGCAGATGTATGTATGTAGCACACTGCAATGCCCATCCAAAATATTTTCAGAATGTTGATCTGGTTCCCTGCAGGGCTGAAGCTTGGATTCAGTCCAGACCTGTGAAGGATCCAGATAAGACTGTGGGCCCCCATTACATGGGAGCAGTGGAAACTAAAGGGAACCCCATCAGAATCATGCTTTCTGTTATAGCTGCAGTTCCAGCATCATAGCTGACAGAGGATGGGTGATAATAAGAGCTGGCAGACGACCTGCTGACCTTTATATATTCAACTGTCCAGCACCAAACCTCCTTTTCACGGAGCTCTCCAGCGGATTCACGTCCATGTCCATGTCTCTGGGAGTCACGCTGCGCGCTGGCTCTATTCGCAGGCCGACACGCTGCTGATCTTGCCGGTGTTCTCTGTCCAGGGTTGCAGGTTCTGTAGGGCATACAGGGAGCTGTTCTGCAGACACAGCGGGTCCGGGGTGACCGGCTGGTTGATGGTCTTCTGGAAGGCCTCCTGCTGAAGCTGCATGAGGATCCGGTTGGCCTGCTGCCGCTCCGCCTCGCGCTCCTCCGCCGTCTGCCGCCTGCAACAGAGACGACAAAAAAAACCAGACTGAAGTAACCCAGTGCGTAAACACGCGCTCCATAACAATTATAGGCCTCAAATATGTAGGCCTAGACATTTTTTAAGGCCGTCCTATATTTTTGCATTTTTCAGTCTTTGAGCGGCCATAACCAAGAAGAATTTATCTCGAACCAGCACGACCCATTCTCCTTTCTGAGCCGCAGACGCCGGGACCGATCCGGTAAAAAAAAGCCAGGATATTCTCCAGGCGAAATAGTCTAATTCTTTAGTCCACTTTTAATTTATTTAAGTTTGGTCGACGCACAGAATATAGTTTACTCTGGGCTTCATTTCCCTCCTTTGTTCCATGATCAAATCGACAGTTAAAAAAAAAAGTGAACGCAAAAAACGCAATAAGCTCTGCAGTCCAGTTTCTAGGTTATGCCTAGTATTCAAAATTCAAGAATCCAGAAAGGAGCAGTCTTTCAAAATGCTCATCTGTAGTAGATACGCAGTTGTAAAGCTGGATAGCCCATTAAAATCGCGAATGAGTTGCTCTTCCCATTTTCTTAAAGCCTCGTTAAAAAACCGTGAAAAAATACTGACAAAATTGCTATTCTATTTTAACATGCTAATTCCCTACGTTTTATTTAGTAAAATTCGAATATTTAAATAGAAATAGGCCTACCTAAAGTGCAAATGCACAAAAACAAAGCTGAGACTTGATGAGCACATTTCTATTTGGTGGCCACAATTTTGGACCATTCGTTTTGATTAAACTTATATGAATACCTTTTTTATATATATTTATCGGAAACAAAGATTCTTCAGGGAATCTGAAAAGTTTATGCAATAGCCTTATTGACCTGGAATGCATTCATTTCAAGACATAATGTTTACTGCCTTTAAAGAGGATATACTTTTATTATTAAAAGCACATTAAAATTCAACCTATAGAAGTTATATCCTATCAGTAGAAAATTAATTTGTGTATCAAATCAATATTTTAAATTCAACCACGTTTAAATGACCATTTAAGAAAAATCTGTTCTGTGTCTACCTCACAGAAATGTTTAAAATGAGCTAATTCAGATATCTCAAAACAACTTTTGACTTCAATTTCTTATTGAACAATTTCATGTCAAAGGAGGCTTTAAATGGGCTCATATCAACTAAATTCAATAATAATTGTAAATATAAACAATTGTTATTTTATCATCATCACACCCAATGATAATGAAGTCTAATACAACACATAACTGTAGTTCCATACCTACCTAAATAAACGGCAACTGAAACAACAATTTTATTCATGATTTGGGATGAAATACATTTTTTCTCAATTTGAAAAAAATTTGAATTTGCAAGTTTGAAAGAGATGAAAAGAGTAAGCCACTTATTTTTTTCTTTGGGGGGGTGGGGGGTCCTTCAACCTCCCGCAGCCTCTCAAACCCATTGGGGGACCCCTGACAGTCCCTTGGAACCTAACAGGCTTCTAGTCCTACATAAAGCCTACGGGGCCTTTTTGGTGAGGCTCTCAAAAATCACCACCAAAATCACCATCTGCTCTGTTCATCAAACAATATATCATTAAAAGGGGAGAAAACTGAAAACTGATTTCCGATCAAATCAAACATTGCTTTACCTCCACTTGGTGCGTCTGTTCTGGAACCAGGTTTTGACCTGAGCGTCAGTCATCTTCAGGGCTTTGGCCAGGGCAGCGCGCTCAGCAGATGCCAGGTACTTCTGTCTGTGGAAACGTTTCTCCAGCTCACAGATTTGCAGCCGTGTAAATGACGTCCGAGGCTTTTTTTTCTTAGGAGGTGTCCGGTTCTGGTATGGATGACCTACACGACGTGTCACAGTGAGGGGTGAGAGGGACACTGGACAGTTTGGGATATAGGACAAGAGGACAGGGCAGGAGGACAGGAAGAGGAAGGAAAGGAAAAGACAGTAAAGTCAGGACAGAACTAGGTCAGGAACAGTCAGAGCAAGGTATGCCAGGCAGCCAGACAGGAAACAAACGAAGTAGCGCACAGCAGTACAGTATAAGAGAGTGAGTATGATATCTCAATTGTGTTCGGATAAACAGAACACAGTTTATAACCATCTTAATGCTGAAACAACAATTGATTACAGCAGAAAAAATGTGTCAAACTGTATCGTTTAATGTATTAATGCTTTATTTATTTGACTTTTATGCTAGAACACCTTTGAGGTGTGAGTGGGTGTTTGTGTCTTTGTTTCTAATCACAAACAAAAACCCATTTTGGAAGTTCTGGAGAACTTAGACTTAAATGTTTATGTATAAATCTGAAGGTTCATACTTTTTTTAAGATTCTCCTTTTATACAATAACCAAAGAGCCCTCACATGTAACTTTTTTTCAGCTAAAGAGAAATGTACATGAAATCATACACCAAAACAAAGTATTTCCCCACAGTTCTATAACAAGTGTGGTCTTTAGTAAATAATGGGTTTACATTTGACATTGTATCAGCAGACTGTAATAATTAGAACATGAATGGCGTAAGTTTTTATCAATGTAATGGAGGGATTTTGCTTTAAGAGTTTACTGTGAACCAAACTGATGGCTCTATAGACGCAGAGGAGGTAAAGAATCACAAAGAGGAAGACTTTAGGGACAGCATCAGAGGACAGATAGAGATTACACAGCTCTCTTTGTCCAACACATTACTGACTCACTCAGGAGATGCCTCAGGTTATACAGTACAATGCAGAATAAAACCCTAAAGGGAACAAAATCATGTTAAAGACTGCAGACGCTAAATAGAAGTGTGCTTGACTGCAGGTCTGTGGAATTAGTAATGATGACAGTATCTTTTTTGGGTGTACTCCAGTCCCTTGCTGCTATACACAAAAATTTGAACAGAGACTTTGGTACAGGACTTTTTAAATATACTCAGTAATATTCATCATTTAGTATTTAAATGACATTCTACACAAATTTATATTTAATCTTAAGTTCTTTAATACCATTAACAAATATTGGAAATAATTATAATAGCATGTCATCAGTTGAGCTTAGGTGGAGGCGGAGAAGCAATCACTGAAATCACAAATCGTCTTGAAAGCTCATAAACAAAGCACTTACCAAGTTTTTTTTAATCTATTTTTTTTATTTTGACAAAGCACCTATAGAAATCATCCTGACTGGAAACAGTACAAATCAGCCAGCAGGAACTTACAATCATAAGGGATTTAATTGATGCCCATCTGAGCAAAATAGTCATATCTGTGAGGTGGTGTGACTGCCAAGAGCCCAAGGAACAACAATAACAACAAAAAAACCCCATAACAACAGCCTATTCAACCAGAGTCCTGTGATGCTGAAGTATATATTGCTTTAGGTTACAAAGCAGCTTCTTTCCACAAGCAGTGATACTATCTAACTCTATAGGCAACTAAACACTCGACCATATATGAATATAACTGTTTTTATTATTTTCCCACAATAACAATCATTCACTTTGCTATTAAACAATCATATTGCACTGACACTGATATGAAGGACTATAATGTATGTTTACCTGTAATAGTAGATTTATAGGTCTGTACAATTATTGGATTTATTGTATTTTTTATCATACACTTAGCGTACTATTTTTGTATTATTTTTCTGCATGAAGGAGCCACAAATTTCATTTGATTATTGATCCACGGGTTGTCAAATGACAAATAAATCCCAAAGTGACAGCAGACGTCAGTTTTCTACTATTTATTTAGCCAATCTTAAAATAGGCAACAGTTACAGGTTGATAATCCCAAAACACTGAAAGTTGCTAACAAAAATCTAGTATTTGATTAGGCTACTTAAGTTAACAAATAGGCCTAAATGTTGTGCCATGCCACACATTGTATACATTGTATTTGTATGTAAGGGGGAAAGTTACCAATCAATTAAGGTCTTAATTGAAGGTATGCATGAGTCATCTCTGTTAAGTTACTTTTAATTAGCCTACTTATAATCGAATAATAGCCAGTCTTACACGTTGATTCATGAATCACTTCTTTAGAGAAAGGCTTCAGTGTAAGCTAAAAATAAGTTGGCGGATCACGATGACATTGGATCTTTTTAGACTATTTTATAGCGGACGTAGCAAAAGGCCGATATGATGGGTTTAACTGTAGGCTGTGGCCCAAAGGGAAACGAAAAATTGTGTGTTTTAAAATGTAGCCTATTTGTCGTCGTTAAGGCTTTAGTGTTATATTCTGTATAGGCTAGGCCTATGCAAATGAAAAATATCGTGAAAAAAACGCCTATATATATATATAGGCTATTGTATTTGACCTACCTGTGAACCTGTCTTTGGTGTAGCGGCGGTTGCTCTCCATCCAGGGGAATGTGAGCGAGCCCATGTTATTGATGCTCGCGCTGCCCGGCGGCCCGGTTGAGTTTCCGCAGCTCAGAGGTCGGTGTGCGGGCACACGGATGACCCCGGCAGGGTTCACGTTTGTCCCGTTCGCATTCACACCTATGTTCATGTGATAAGCCCCGCCGAGGGCAGCCATCCCACACGAGCTGCTGGTGCCGTTATATCCGGTGTTACCGCACGTGAAGCCATTGCTCGCGCTGTTGTTATAAGCCACATGTCCGTAGTCCGGCTCGTGCATCCTTACGCCCAGCATGCAGCTCTGCTCAACGTTGCTGAGGATCTGGTCGATGCCAAAGCTGATGGGCTCCACTCCACTGTGGTGCTGCAAGTGCGCCCCCAGAAGCCCTAAGTGATCCATGGCCTCCGCGAGCCCTGCGCTCCGGCGCGAGGAACACAGCTTGCTCCACGCGCCGCTCCCTGGACTCTTCCGTCCCGGCTTCTCACCTTTGAGCTCCCTGGACTCTTCTTCTCACGTTTGAGCTCCGCTCGTTGTCTGCTGCGACCGCACGTGTGTGAGTCAGACTGTGTGAGCGTGCAGGAGAGCGAGGACGGACTGTAGGCCTGAACCCACCCCCCTCTGTGCAGCGCGAGGACATCAATCAAACTGCCAAATAGACAGCTCGAGATTAAGAAGCAATTTTAAGGCTGGAAACTCGATTGGCTAAAACCCTGTGTGAGCTCCGTGGAGGCTTCGTGGCGCACTTCATAAAACACTGATTAACAGCTGGACAAGATCAATAACACAACTGTAGGTTTATCTTATGCTCTCTCTCTCTCTCTCTCTCTCTCTCGCTCTCTCTCTCTCTCTCTCTCTCTCTCTCTCTCTCTCTCTCTCTCTCTCGCTCAGTCTCTCTCTCTGTCTCTCTGTCTCTCTCTCTCTCTCTGTGTGTCTCTCTCTCTCTCTCTCTCTCTCTCTCTGTCTCTCTCAGTCTCTCTCTCTCTGTGTCTGTCTCTCTCTCTCTGTGTCTCTCTCCCTCTCTCTGTCCCTCTGTCTCTCAGTCGCTCTGTTTCACAGTCTGTCTCTCCCTCACTCATAACCAAATAATCACATTCGTTTTAACAGATTTTCCGCTATTCCAATGTTTCTCGTTTTTTTTCTTTTTATCCTGCTTAAATGCATTAATAAACATGATTTTTCCATTGATTAGTCTAGGTTATAAGTGTTGTTTGATCATTTCCCCTAGTTGCACACATATGCCTACTCACTGAAAGCCAACCAGGCTATAATTAAACTCAAATTGCATGTTTCCGATTTTATTTTTTATTTTTGTGTGTGTCTTGTGTCTCTCTGATCAAGAGAAAAAACTATTACTTGCCTGGTCTCAAAGTTTTTCCCTCAATTAAGATCTGAGGCGTCAGTATGGTCAAAAACACCTAACAAATAAAATCGTATCTTCTTGCTTAGGCAAATAAATAACCTTCCTAGCCTAGTTCAAAATGACGCTCTCAAAGTTCTAGTTTATCATTTGAAATCAATAAGACAATTTATGCAACTTTGCTGCTTTGACCAAATGCTGCGGAAATACAACCTTAATAAAATGGCTTAATGGGTTTAAATGATACCATATAAATCACTGAAAAATGATTGATGTTTTATCAAGGCAACTCATTTATTATTATGAAGCTGGCGCCATTATTAATTCATGTTCAGAGGGATGACAGTGCCGCAAACATTGATGCGTTTTCATTTGAGGGAACAGAACAGAGCTGTTAGACTTATGTATGCTGGGATATTTAGTTACATTATTTTTTCATTGCATCTTTTCAAGACTACAAGTAGCCCACACCCCAGAGTGGAAAGTCAAATTTTAATAATACAAATAATTGATAAGTCAATATTTTAGCATTAGGGTTAGGCTATACAGTCATTAAAAATGTGAATGAGCCAGGAAATTATCCTGGTTTATGCAACGAGTTCAAATTTGTTGTATTACGACAAATGGCTGTAACTTTGTTTAATCGTAGATCATAAATAAGGAGCGCATTTCCTGTGAAATTCTGCCAGTGCTGTCTCTAAGACACACACACACACACACACACACACACACACACACACACATTCCAGAACAATTAAATGAAAAACTAAACCGTGTCGCTCATTGATTTCCTTTGCTCTAAAAGCCACTGGGACTCAATTACTTCACTCGGGTCATTAAAGCATTAATATTTTACATGCATTAAGCGGCTCTCATTGGTCAGTTGCCCGACGTCAAATTTTAATGAATGTGGTAGCCTATCCGCTCGTTTAGGTGCACCAATACATTTAAATGGGGACCAATAATGAGCATTAAAGGGACAGAGAGAGAGGCGGCCAAATAACTGAGATGAATTGCAATACTGGAGCGAGGCCGTGCCGCAATGAGACTTAATCTGAGGCCGTAGCCTCAAAGGCAGGTAGCTCCTGATCACCAGGTAGACGAATCCATCCTGTTAATATGGAACATAACAAATATCATCATGTGATTCTTTATGAATGATAATAATAGCATATAACACATTTAGTAAACGATTTTACTTAAATGAATGGAAAAGAACGAAATACCCCACAGGAAAATAGGCTAAATTAACACAGGGCTTAACGCTGTTTAACATTATTTGTGTGTTTATTTAACTTGTAAAAAAGTCAGTATTGTGACTTTTAACAAAATACTGTTTCAAATGCCAGTGTGAATGTTTCTGCATCAGGAAACCGACAATCACTGTTAAATGAACGTAGTATCAACACGAGCTGTGGTCAGAGATTGATGAAGACAGGCCTAACACGCCTGACAATGACACTGACACTGACGTCTTTTCAAACTCAATTATCGAGCGACCATTTTCATTTCAGCAGCTCGAATGTCCTTATGGGCTTTGGGAGAAAAATTATCTCCTCACTTCAAATGGAGGCATCGATTTCTCGCCTTTTAAGAAGCATGATTTTCACTGACAATCCCACTGCTGTATCTGCTACTCCAGCATGATGGCTTTATGGGTCTGCAGAAAAAACACAAAAGGAACCTACTGCTTCTCAAAATCCCTATAGGCTGACTACAGCTATTTTCTTCACATTACTCAACAAGTTTCTATCTTTAGTAAATTAAAACATAATGTTATTCAAGTTCAGTTCTGTAATAAATCCTTCTTTCACAAATATTTTAACAAGTGTGTTGTCTTGCAGAAACTAGACTTGACAAAGCAGTCAACTTTTTCTTTGCTGATCCTGTCCTTTACATGTGTTAGCTGTGTTGTCTCAAGAAAAATCACCCTGCTGTCTTTTAATTGTCAGATGTATCACTTTCTGTGAATCTTTTTGTTCAAAATATAAACAAAAGCAGTTCCTGACTATGTGCTCTTAAACAGACCCAGTGGCAGCTGTGACAGGCATTAAAATAAATATATAGAAAAAATACATTTCTTACTGATAGTCTTATTTGATGTCTTACTTCATATATAAGCATCAGTATATTTTAGTTCATTTCCTGTCTAGTTAAAGATAGTCACAGTAGGTTTAACCAAACAATATGCCCCTTACCTTAATCTAAGTGTTTGTGTTGCATAAACTTACCACATACTCAGTTTGGAGAACCAAAGACTTTGATATGAACAACCACCTCTGAAGCTAAAGCCAAAGTAAAATTTCCACAACTTGCATTTCCTCAAAGAGCATTTTGAGGCAGGCTGTAGAACTGAGTCAATCCCCCAAAGAACCCCATATAGAAATAACCCAACTCAACAGTTTAAAATGTATTAAGGCATACAGTTATGCATAATTAAAGGGGTGGTTTCTTAAAGTGAATGGTATGTCAGCGTCTTCTAAAATCTTTACTAATCAATCGAGGTATTAAACTGACTTATAAAACCTTTTTCTGATATTTCAATCCCACGATTTTGGTCAGCTTGGCTGTAGACAAATGAACATGTGCAATATACCTGTTACTGTATGTTTGTTGTTGGCAGATGGGCACAATTAAACCAACTGGTCTGTATCTCTGAATATTATGTCAACGCAGGAAATTCATTTAATACATTATTTATTTAAAAAAATCTGAAATGTTTTACTTTTGGACTACTTGAGATAAAAAAAAATAACAACAACACTTCTCAGTGATGTCTGCATTCAAATCTATTCCTCTCAGAAGTATCATGAAACCCTCTGGACTAGATGAAACACTAGACAGTGTAAACCACAAAGCACCCCCCCCCCCCCAAACAAAGAGTATTTAATAAACTTAATCAAATAGAGTAGCCAGACAAAAATACATTAAGCCATACTACTTTTTCTCCCCGCTTATTGTTGTTGTTGCTGTTATTGTTCTTTTTATGTCATTCTTTCTCCTAACCCAACACAGATGGCTGCTCAACGTGTACTCTTTCTGAATGTTGCCTCGAGTTTATGTTGGGTCTCTGTAAATAGTGTAACAAAAAGAACAGTCAAGACTTTGTAGTGTTTTGAGATAACATTTGTTTTAAATTGGTGCTTTACAAATAAAGATTGGTGATATTTGGTGATAAGAACATGCTTGCAGTTTTCACTCACCTTCTGTTGGTTGTATCAATATGAGTCTTAATAAAAGAAAAACATGCTTTTATGAGGAACAACTTAAAAGTGTGTTACTTACAAAATACCCATTATAACAACTCAATAAGTACTATGATAAAACATGTTTTTATAAAAGGGAAATTTGACAAGTTGACTTTAGGTGTTGTCATAGCAACATGTCCGGTCTTAATCAGTGTCAGCTAAAGCTTTGTTCAGTCTTTTCCACTGCCCTGAATGCAGCTTGATCCTGTCTGATGTGTGTCTGTGCAGGGAGTTGGATGCTGCTGGACTTTGAGACTGACAGAAGTTAATTCTGACTCTCTCTGTCAGCTCTGAAATAATAGTATGAGCTTCTGAGGTACAGAGATAAGTGAGTGATCATCCTGTTGTTTTAGTTACTTACTCCATGATCCCCATAGCATCTCTCTTTCCTCTCAAGAGGAAACACATGCACATATACCTGGTTGTAGACTTAAGTATAGACACAAATATTGCCAGGGAAACAAGCTGTTTTGATCATGTTGGACGCCATCAGTGAGCATTTGTCAAACCTCCCCCTGCGTCGGTGTCACATTAGGGAGAAATGTGAGAAGCCGAATACTCCATATTTTGTCTGAAGCACTTTGAAATGTTCTAGACATGAGGGAATAGATGCTCTTCAGGGGTTCCTTCAACTTCCTGGTCACCATAAATTGAACACTCCTCGACTGAACAAGAAATATCCTCTTAAACCTGAAGCATACATTCTTACTCAAGCAAGAGATGAACTTCAGATGTCTTGTTTGGGGTTTAACAGAACAAGACCTGGGTAGCAGGAACCAAGGTTGAACAGAAACAACGATGGCAACCTATTGCAACTTATTATACTCACAAAGGATACTCAAGGAAAGAGTTTGACCCCTTATGTAGTCGTATGTATGGACTGGTACGCAAAGCTGGGTACTAATGAGCTTTGGCAGTGAGTATTATGCTGTAGCCTACTATCATAAACTTACAAAGCCCTCTGGAAGGTGACAGTGTTTTCAAAGGCCATATTCATGAAACATGCAGGCTTCTCATTCTCATCAGTGAAGCCAGTCCATTACAGTCCAATTCGGAGTAATATAAATCACCCTGAAGTGTTTTGCAATATACAAAATCTTTCAGATCGAGATAAAATGAATAATGCA